CAAACTAGGCAGAACGGGACTTCTGCATTATTATTCTCTTCTTTGAATGGAACGTTTTATCTCTTCCAATAATTAATCCAAAAGTGCACAGCCAGACAGTGACCTTCTCCACTGCATTCACGCTATTCCCTAACGGGTATTCTGCACCCAGATGTACCAGTGTTGCTTGTCGCGAGACTGTCTCTCTAAAAGGAATTATTAGATGGGTCATTGGAAAAGATCAGCTGTACCAGGCAATTCATGCCAGCTGGCAAACTTCATTTTTAGTTAATAAATCAGTACCAGTGGTCCCAAGCCTTGCAAAGTGGGCTCCTTCTTGCTAGCGAGTGTCACTTTGGCTTTTTAGATTTGAATGACTTCTTCTTCCTGAATGACTTCTTCTTCCTGTAATTTCTCAAGCACCACCACATGGCACATGAAAGTTTCTCCTGTGGCTAAGAGTCAGGCTTTGGAGTCCAGCCTTTGCTGTGTACAAGTTCATCACAGGGAAGATGTATTTTAATTTGCTGTTTGCAGCTTTTAATGAAGGTCAAAGCAACATATGGACTTGGAAAACAAGGTTATAAAAACTTTAAGGAAAATCTAAATTTATTTGAGCAATTTGCTGAGTTTTGTAATATTGCTAATAAAATAATAAAATAAAATCAACCCTCATTTTCCAATATGACGCATGCTGTATTTTATGCTTAAACTCAGCCACAATTTATAGTGGACGATGGAAGAAGGGAGGAACCAGGGTTTAAGAAAACAAGGAGGATTTTCTTAGGTCGTCATGTTGACTCTAGGTACAAATCATGCTGGCAGGTTATTCATGAGCAAGTTCCCCAAGAGCACCATTCAAAAAATGCCCCAAGCTTAACCAAAAGATATGCAGTGACTTACATAAAGCCTGAATCAGACTGTTCAATCTGAACTTGCTTCTCTTTCACAAGTGAGAAATTACCTAATCGTTATACTTGGTAACAACCATCCAAGGAGTAAAACAGAAGCCAACAACCATCACTCATCTTGTCATTATTTATCTTTTCCACGCTTAACACCATTCACTCTTATAAACCCCAGAGTTACAGAGTGGTAAATATGTTCACCAGAATGAAGAACTCATCTCCCACGAAACAACAAGAACCTTCTAGTATCCTATTCCCTTTTCTCCAACATTCAGAGAAACAAAAATGGCACATAACATTATTTCTGCAGAAACCACTGTATTTGGAGGTGGCCCCATCAGCAAAGTCCCTGTAAAACATCACCCAGGTTTGCAAACCAAGTGTCGCACAGAGAAGTGCCAGAGCAGAAAGCAATTAAGGTCCCGTTCTTCCCCTCCCTACGCAATGCATTGAAAACGAAATCAACATCCAAACTAATTACTTTCCAGCAGAATATCAGTTTACTCACTAAGAGGAGTTGCTGCTCTTACCAAAAACTCCTGAGCATACCATGTGAAATCTTGTTTAAGCCACGCGACCTAGCCAAGCACATCCCAATGTTACCGTATACGGTCACCAATGTGAATACGATGGCAACTTGACAGATTTGGAACAAATATTGTGTTGTGTGTCACTGAGATAATATGGGCAGGAAAATACCAGATTGTATTACCTGTATCCGACCGGAGGTGTGGGGTGGTAGGAGCTACATTGCTGCGGGACATAGTCACTAAAGGTTACTGAGCCAAGATGGCATTCACCCCCGCAGAGGAGGGCCAGGGGAGGACACTGAGGACTTTTATGCCCAGTATAGGGCTGCTTGGAGAGAACAGGGATGGACTGACAAGAGGGACGAGCCACCGGACATTCACTATTATCTTGGGTTGAGGGCCAGCACTATCCGGTGCAGCTGGCAACTGGGCTGAAGCTGCCACCCTATGTCTTGGCTGTCAGCCGAAGGCATAGTCACCCTTAGGAAACCACAGCATGCAGGTTTTGTTCTCAAAGAGTGGATTTTGAGCACATGGAAGGTCTTCTCTCCACCCTCAAGGGAAAGAAGGGGCTTGGATATCTACCAGAATAGCTCCTGAAGAAGACTTCTTTGGTACTGGCTCTCAACAGGAGATCCTTAGCCTAAAATAACATTGGTCACTGAGGAGTTATTCCAGATTAAGGTTTTTGGAAGAGTTATTCCATTGCATTTGCAGGTGTAGACAAGCCCTTAGCCAAGGTCTTTAAATTTCAAGCCTGAAAGCATTGGTTCAAACTTAGCCAGACCTATCTTCTCCTTCATCCCTCCAGACACAGCAAGTTCCGCACCTGGACCTCTAAAATCAGACCTGCTCTCTGTTTTGTGTGGTTACTTTGAACATACTGCCTCTTTCTGAAGAGTTTATCTTGGTTCGCTAAGATATCCCTTTCCTTGCAGTGTTCTGTGCATCAGTGATGTGACACATCGGGTCACAAGAAGGAACAGAGTTGGTAGGCACAGCTCTGAACCGGGAAATATGTCCCCATTTGCCGGGAAGGAAAGAAAAAGCCCAAGTTGCCGCATCAGCCCAATCACTCATCTCTGCGGTGCCCTTTGCCTTAAAAGGCATCACCTAAATGAAGATGTAAAAATACTACAACATAACATTTAATGCAAGATTGCAGCTGAGCACTCAACTGTCAGGAAATAGCAAAGCCAGAGCGCGTGGGCAACTTCACTCTGCCCCCTTGTGCAAATGCACTATGGCACAGCCCTTCCCCAACACCAGCACGCCATCAGCTGGCTCCAAGTTAACATCCTAACTCCAGCACAAGGTACTTTTGCCTTATAAGAGTGCAAGAGAAGGACCAGCGCTTTCACTGAGAGCCTCCTCAGCTACCTCCTTCCCTTGATGGCAAGCCAGCAAGCACCTATTTAACTTCTGACACCTCAGATCAGAGGCGTTGGAACCGCTTTGGGCCACACACATCTCATTTGCAATCAGGATACAGGTATTAAAAGCTGTTTGGCCAAAAACAAAGAGCCCTTCTTCCTCCAGAGGAAAGCCTCACAACCTCAGGCTGGGATTTGGCCCATGGACTGTCTGTAAAACCTGAGCGACTGAAGCAGGTAACATTTATACATCTCCAGTGGCCGAACCCACTGTATGAGACATGTGGAAAAAATCTGCAGGCAGATTAACAACCCAGCACGTTTTTCCAAGAATCTGAAATCATCCCAATGTAAATATCTAATTACTGGGGATATTTGACAGCACAAAATAAGGCTGTCATCTCAACTCCGCGCACTTACAAGTTTGATCATCCACCTACATCCTCCGCTATCAAAAATGCTCTCAACCTTAAGAAGGTCCAAAGCAGGGTTTAGAGGTCAGGATTTTGTCTATATTTTACAGCAATGACACATTTTTCTTCTTTAGCTCCTCTCTCTTGATATCAGCATGTGAATGAATGACAGTTTTCATTGGTTTTAAACTTTATTTTTACACTGTTTTTTAAACCCGATTTCTACATCATTTAAACTATGTTTCTATACTGTTTTTGAAATAACCAGGATCATCTCTCCATCCACTTGTAGGAAAGATTTTTTTCCAGCTCTGAAAAGAGTTCAAATAACCCAATTGCCAATATGATCCTATCAAAGTTACATTAAAAAGACCTTTCCATAGGAAAAATGATGTCCCAAAATTACTGGCTGTTAACTTTCTATCGCGTCTTCCCACAACAGCAGCCCAGAGCACTTCATTTTCCAGGGATAATAAAAGAGCTTGAGCAAGACAAGTGCAAACCAAATTGAAACAGGGTCAGCCAGGAAAGCAGTAGATGCTCCGCTCACAACAGAGACAAACATCTTTTTGTCTTCTCCTGCACACTTCAGATCTTTTCCCGGAACTCCACCAACTTCTCAGGTCCATTGCAATAATGTACATCCATGAGGTCATCCTAATTCGTACACTGCTGCCCATTGCCTACAACTTAAACTGAGTCTCCATTGTAAACCTTGCCTGGAATTCAAGTTTGCAGGACTTACACCCTATATACTGTTTTCTTTTTCATTCAGCTTCCAGCCGAATCGTTTTATAGCGCTTTTGCCTCCATAAAATATTTGCTTGGGATCCAATGCCAAGAAGGAAAAAAAAGCAGCACACTAACCAAACCTTGGGGGTTTTAGAGTAATGCTCCCCCTGTCCTTTCCTACCCTCAGCCCCAAGGTTTATTTTTGGCAAGTTACTGCCCAAGCAAAGGGCAAGTTTAAACCTTTTAATTCGCAACTCCATGGCACTGGGTGATTTAAAGGTCTTTCAACAATTCATGCAACACTGATACTGTTGGGAATTGCAGCTGGAGAAATCTGCATCCTAAAGCCATATCCCATTCTCCTGGAACAATGAAGCCCCTCCTTTGTGACCGGAGCTGAAAGCATGGTTTCTCATTCAGGCTTTCCAAGGACAGCACCCACCAAGGTACAACACAGGCGAGAGCGGAGGAAAAGCCACAGCTCCATCCACTCTGATCCCAGAGCTTTGCTTAAAGCACCTTCCCATAAAGAAACTTCATTTTTCCTACCCCCCTGTCACTCCCAGGTCAATGCACTTCAATTTGCCTCTGGTAGGGTAACCTGTTTATTGAAATCTGATCAACTGCTGGAGCCCCAGCGTTAAAACACGCTCTCGCTGTTGGGAACTGTCATTTGTCTGTCACCGGGGAAGTTAATGGATGTGTTTGTTTAGGTTGCGAGTGGGAATATACAGGGCAGAGGCTGGAGGGATTACAGGAAGGGAGAGGTATTTCTGATCCACAGAGGAATGCAGTTGCTTTTCTTTAAAATTGTCTGTGTGGTTTTAACACATGCACAAGAAAAGCCCCTGGAAGTTCACCTGCACCTAAGAGACCTCAGCAAACCCAGAGCAACCGCGCTCCATCCAAACCAATGGCCCTGATAAGCAACGTGCAGAGTTCACGCCGACAGCACCAACAGCAGCTCCCTTACGGGGTCTCTCTGAGGGCACCACGAGTGCTTTTGGAGCTTAATCCCAATGGAGTGGAGGGAAGAGTGCGAATTGCAGAGCGCGGGCTCCTTACCTCTGGCCGAGTCCGAGAACGCGATTATCCCTGCTAAAAGGAGCGCGAACTGCAATTCCATTTTGAAAACCAGATCCCTCCGTATCGCACAGGCTGCCGTCCTCTCAGACCTGGAGGCAAGAGAAAGGGAGAGCAAAGTAAATACTAGGGGTAGAAAAACCCCAAACTGCCCACAACTTTGCAGAGTTTCAAAACCCATTGCCAAGACTTAAGAGCAGAAACAGCAAATGAAAGAGCAACGTACTTGTAATTCATTCCTTGGCGCTCAGCAAGTAAAACTTTGCCCTCCTCTCTGCTTTAACCTGATATAAATCAAGAACCCACTGAGGCCAGTGAGCTCCTCTAAGTTTACAGTTAATGCATAATTCTTTGGTATCCTGTACAGAACCAGTCTGGAAGGCAAACAAAACGCACGCAAGTGGCCATAAAACAAGATTTCAGGTTAACAATTTGCGGAGGAACTTAGGGAAGGGGGAGGAGGAATGTTACCTCTCCCATCAACAGCCCAGAAAACTTTGCGTTGCTGCTTCAGTGCCCCTCAGACAGGCTCCGCTGTGGGTACGCGCCTTCCTCCACTCCGCAACTTCTCTGAGCAGCACTGATTTTTCCTCTTCCTCTCCCCCCCCTCAAGTCCCACTTGTTTCCGTGAGCTCCAGAGGTGCGTCCCAAAGCAAAACCGCACTTAATTACCCAGCTTCTTGAAGATGCCTTCGCTGCGATACAGGAACCCGGGGTAGATCAGGTTTTACATTAATTACACCCTGTTCTCCTCCTAAAACTCTCACTCTCTAAACACTGTCTGAATTCCTCACCCTTGTAAACTCCCCGGTTTAAACACTCCGTGCCCCCAGGACACACAACAACCCGCGTACAGCATCCAGCAAAGCAAACACGGACGCTGTGCCACCAGCTCCTCCGCTTGCAGCGCGGAGCCGGTACGGAGGAGAGGGCGGGCGGCCGGCGGGGGCTCCCCCCGAGGCGGCAGCCGGGGCGCAGCGCGGCTCAGCCCCGCGGCGGCCGGTAACGGGATATTCGGGTCCGGGAAGGGAGGCTGGGCCGGGGGCTATGGAGTGGGGGGGGGGGGGCACACCCTCCAGCTCTGCGTCAACTCAAGCGGGGGTCTCCCGGCCGGGTTTGGGGGGCACTTACCTTGGCTGCTACGGGGCTCTAGCACCCTGCGCTGCTGACGCCCATCACCGCCGCTCGCCGCCTCATGTCTCCGCGGCCACGGCGCCCGGCGGGGCGCTCCGCCGCCGGCCTCTACCTCATTCCCCCCCCTCCTCAAGGGGGGGCGGGAAGGGGCTGCCCGCTGCCTTCGGGGGTGCCCTCCCCACGGGGCGGCTCCCCCCCGTTCCACACCGGCTTTTTACCAACCACCCCCGTTCGCCCCAGGGGCGATTTTTAGCACTGGGACGAGGAGCTCAGGGAAAAGGGGCGGAGGGGGTGGGGGGAGACCTTGTAAATTATTTTTCCTGCTTTCCGGGTCGGGCTGAGCGTGTGTGTGCGGGGAGGGACAGCGGGGACCTGACATTAGCCGCCGCGGGATGCCCGGTGATGCCGTCCTGCGGCTCGCCCAGCCGGAATCCCGTTTAAGGAGCGAGGGGAGGAGGGGAAAGGGGCTGGGGAAGGGGAGGGAAAGGGGGGGTTGGGGAAGAGGAGGGGGGGGGGGGGGGGGGGGGGGAAGAGCCGGGGCGAGAGAAACAAGCGATAAAGCCACTTTCCCTGCAGGGCTTTGTGGCTGTGGGGGCCGAGCCGCGGCGGAGGGCGGTGCGGTGCCGCCCCGCTCCAAACTTCGCACCAATCCCCGGGAGCTCCCGCCCATCCCCGCCGGCCCGCGCCGCGCCGCTGCTCCCCTTAACCCTTCGCGGGACCGGCCGAGGGCGAGAAGCGCGGCGGCCCGCGGAGCTCCGGCGCAGCCCGACCCGCAGACAGCGACCCAGTGCCGAGACCCCCTGGTACCCCGCGGTGCCGGCCCTGAGCCCCGCTATATCCCAGAGCATCCTCTCCCTTAACCCTGCATCCTCTGGAGCGCACCGTAACCCCAGTGGTGGTGGAGATACCCCCCCCCCCCACCCCCCCCCAAAACCGCTCCTATTTCCAATGCAAGGAGAGCTCCCCCACCTCCTTGAAACCCATCGCTGGGGTCGTTTTGATCTCTCGGCTGGGATGCAAATCATGCCAGAAAGAGACGGGACTGAGCTAAACTAAACCAACTGGAAAATAAACAGTGGAAGCGTCTGCTGCTATGAATTAACTGTTACTATTATTTATTATTTACTTCCAAACAGGACGCAGCTGATGCATCCGCTCTTACAGTGAATTTCTGTCTTCACAGGGTAAAAATCAACCTGGCAGAATTCACCAAACAGACTAAACAAAATGACGAGAAGAAAAGCTGCCTCAATAGCTGTGCTTTTTGTACAACGTTATTGCTGATGCTGTTGTTTATTAGATCTCTTATGTGATATGTTCCAGCATGAAGGCCTCCTTGAAATTTAAGCTGTCCCAATGCTGATAGGCACCCAGAGAACCCCTAAACCCAAGCCAAGAAGTAGTTTGAGCATCCATCTCATCTGTTTTGATAGGATTATGAAATCACACACTCTGTTGTTATTATTATTATTACTAAATATTTTTATTCAGTGTTTCCTGATAGCATTAAATCTTGATATACAAAATCAATGTGAAAAAGCATTGAAGACTACACATACGACTCCCCTGAACCAGAAACAGACAAAGCAGCTGACCGTACTGTTTTGATATTTTACATATTTATATCATCATTTTCAACATTAAAGTTAATTCATCTGAGAAATCCCAGACTGACTACTCCTCCAACCAGGCAATAACTTCAGCCTCATTGACTTCAAAGACAGTGTTGACTGAGGCAAACCTTCAGGACTTGACCTACATGGTCATATTCATGCCATGGATTCTGATAAAATCACTCCCAACTTGTGCCAGAATGAGAGCTCGACCGCAGGCTGCATCTCAAGGGATGGTGTGTGAAGCATTTCCCAGCCATTCCACCACGAAGGAATCAAGGACTTTGTCTCAAGGACATTGCCATCCAGGTGATCCAGCCCCAAAACTGTTTGTACAGCCTTCCGTTCCCATGTGGACTGAAGTCTAAAGCAGCCTCAGTTCTGGCTCAGATGCAGGATGCCGGCCCATCATGGGTGGGCTTCCCACCATGTTAGAGGGCCTTACTGAAGAGCTCCTGCTCCTCGCCTTGTTTTTCTGGTTCATGCACAGAGACTGAGGTTTAATTCCCACACAGACTATGGCTTTCTTATCACAGACTGTCGAGAGACTGGGGTGAACTGTCTGGTCCTGACTCAGCTCCAGTCTGGAAGAAGAGACCATCTTCCAACCCAGGCTGTGGCCAAACACAGTGTCAAGCATTCAGCTCAGGTCGGACTTAACAGATAAATATCCTCTGATGGATCCACTCCTTCCACCCTCTCTTACTTACTGAAAATCCCATGTGTGCCTTTGTAGGCTCCAACATCTCCCACTGTGGGCATTTCTCCTCCAAATAAAGCAGCAAAATCCCTCCTGCATCCTTTCACCAGCGGAAAGTTCTGAGAGATGAAGGATTACAGAGGTGGTACATAGGATTTTCAAAGGCACCCAGGTTCCTGAACACCTTTAGATCCCCCTTAAACTTTAGGCATCGAGAACCTCTTTAGGAATCTGACTCCAAGTGATGGGGCAAAGGGATTACATGGGGCAAGGAACGGAGCCCACAGCTTCCATACCCCAGGTTTAAATAACCAGAAAATAGCCCCTACTGCCTCCAAAATGTCAGCACAATTACTTTTCATGCTGGGGCTTGGGAGCTCATGACAGTCCAAAACCACGCTGTAGACTCCATCCATCTCATTCCCGATACTGCGACAGAGGAATAACTGTAAAACACTGATACAACAAGAACAATTAATATTCCTGAAACAGCTCCTAGTCTATAAGGAACTGAATCTCATGCTGTTTTCCCGACACTTCTACCTAAATAAGGAAACATGCAGAGCTGTGTTTTCCCTGGGCTGGCTGTAATGTGCAGGATGATTGAGTAGTCTGAAAGTCAACAGCCCTGCTTTGCTCCTGCACTCCACAGTCCTCAGACAAGGCTGTGGGAATACAGCTTTCTGGAGCTGACAAACAAAACGGAATGCTAAGCAACCAAGTACGTGTCTCCAAGTGGCCTGAGAAGGAGCCTAGCAGTCCATTTGTATCCCACTTGTCCCCAAAGCCCTGCTTCCAGACCGTGGCTTTTCGGGTTTTGCTTAGCTGTGATGGTCTAGTGAGCATCCATCCCCAGAATGACTTTTCCTCATGTGCCTGAAACCACCATTTGGAATCTTTCCAGCTTTTTTGCCTCTTTTCTCCCAGGAGCCACTCATCTCCATCATCACAGAACTCCATTTTTCTCCCTTCCATCTTGATTCTTTTGCCTTTTACAGAAGACCTGGCAGACACAACACCTCCAGGCTCTACTTCCTTAACCTATTTCACTGATTCTTTTCAAACGGTTGAATTCCCCCATCACACCCAGCAGGCTGAGGGCTGAGGCCATTCAAGTGACTTGGGTTGGCAGCGGTGCCTTGCAAGAGCACGAGGCTCCATGGCACGGGTCCACAGGGACATGCCACCGGAGCAGAGGGTGTGCAGGACCGGGTGGCTGGGCGCAGCTGACGGAGCATGTGAAGGTGATGGAAGGGCACGGCCAGGATTAGGTACATTCTCCCGTTTATGCAGCCCTCCTCGTGTTACCAAATGGGAGCAGCCATGTGGGGTCAGCCTGAGCATCCATCTGGGATGAAGGGATCACTCTGGACATGAGGAAAAAGGTAAATAACATGATTAATGGGGCAGATTTCCCTGGGTGGATCAGCTCTGGTTAAGCACATGGCGTGCAACAGGACAGCACGGAAAATGTCACAACCAGGCAGACATGGAGCACAACACACACCTTGCCATCTGCACACCACCAGAGTCACTGTGCTGATCCACTTGGGTCTGTAGTTAAGGCTGAAACTGTGTCTTTCAGAGAAAGCAGTGTTTTGTGAGAGTTGAATCACCATCTCCCCTATCTGTGGTAACCAAGATCTATGTAACATACAGAGAAAAGGTATGGGCAGATGGAAAGATGAACCAGGGTGTTACAGTCTTGAAAGCTGTATTTTGTTCTTAGCCAAAAATGACTTTTCTTCTCCTCACATATACATGTATTCCCTTAGACTATGCTTTGCTGTAGGCAGCGTTGCAAAGAAACAAATGGTTCATCATATGCATAAGGTTGACATTTATACATGAAGTGTGGATGCCATTGTCAGGCAGAGAAGATGCTAACAGGGTTAACTGTCCTGTCCACCAAACCTCAGGTTCTGTGCAGGATGTGGTGAGGTCCCACTGCCCCATGGCCCTTGCACTGGGGCTTTCAGGGCTTTTTGAGGGCACAAATGACCCCTCTCTGAAGTACCACCAGGAGAGGGTTGCCAGCATATCCCCTGAAGATCAGTCACACACACACTGCCCAGCCTCACTGTGCCTGGAGAATGTGCTTGGATTCCTCATCGAAGCTAAATTTGCACATGATGGCATCTGCAGGAAATGCTTTCCACCATCCCCAGTTGGCCGGGAGACCCTATCTCTCTTGGCCAGGTTAGGCACACTGTGTCAGTGCTCCCTGGCACCAGGGAAACAGGACAGCCCTGAGCAGGGTGCGAGCAGCGTGCAGGGAATGCCATCCCAATGAGGAGCAGCACGAGTCCCTCACGCTACCTTCCCAGGAGCTGCCAAGTGAAGTTCAAAGTCTCAATGTCCACATCACACTGCTGAGCAGCTTAGTTCAGGTCGCCAAGATGGATTATAGCAAAGGACAGCTCTTCTCTCTCAAAGGCAAAGAGAGCCAGAGCATCCCAGGGCAGTCCTAAGAAGTATAAGCTAATATACCCTTGGTGACAGCTTCAAATATAGTACCATAGACTCATAGAATGGTTCAGGATGGAAAGGACCATCTAATTCCAATCCTCTGCCATGGGCAGGGATGCCTCACACTAGACCATGTTGCCCAAGACAGCCTTCCCTCCTTTAAAAGTGTGTATAAGAAGGTCCCAGTATAATAAAACAGCATAATCCATGCAAAATTCTCCTTTCCTGCAGGACAGGTGATGCACAGGGAAGGGTTTTAAACAAGCAATGCAGATGGAAGAACACAGAGAAGGTTTTGGACAAGCAAGTCCCAGGCTTCGTGTGCTTTTTGTCTGGCTTCTCTCAGTAGATCCAAGAGTAGGTATTAGGTCTCCCAACAAGATTTTGGGAATTTTCCCTTCCACCCAACCACTATATCCCCATGACTGCTACAACAGGAATATACCACATCTGGCACTCAACACAACATTTCCACACTCCTGCAAGGTGCTCAGCGATTTGGGTGAGGAATGCAGTATAAAAGGTTTGTGTCAAATTGGTCTGACTTCTTCTAAAAGAACTGTACTCCTGCTTTCTTTAATTGTACCTCATTCTTCTTCCTCACATCCCTTCAAGCAATTTGCTTATGCTCTCATTCTTCTTTTCCACTCTTAAACGTGTGCCGGTAGTTCCCTTACTCAGCATTTGCTCAAACTACAAGTAGTTAAAGTTTCCAAATGTTCTCCATAAACACATCCTTCCTCAGGCCCCTTATCCTCTATATCACTCAACACTGGTTTCTTGGAGTCAGTCTGACACTGATGTATGAAGGATTTGATTTTGCTTTCCTTTTACATCTGGCTAGGACAAGAATAATCCCACTGGAGCCATTGGAATCGTTGTGAGAAAAAATCTTGATCAAGCCAGCAGACTCATCTGTGCAGCAGCTCTTCAGTCCAGGTAGTCAGAGCTGAAGGCTGAATATGCATCCTTGAATCTAAACACCTCATCTGGGGACGTGACCACAGTTTTGAAGGCCTAAATCTCCTACTGCTCCTTCACATCAACCTCCCATGCAAGGCAGTTTGTCTGTACATGTTGATGCTGGGTTTAGCAAACAGATGTAGCAAACACGAAAGGAGAGATGTGAAAAACAACAA